AAAAAGAACAACTTGGGAACCACTCATTGAGAGGTACAGCCAGGTTCTAAACAGAGGTCAATATGTGTAGGAGAGGGGCGCCTGGGTGGCTCAGTGGGTTAAGTGTCTCAGGTCATGATCTCTTGGTTCGTGAGTTCAAGCCCCATGTTGGGCTCTGTGCTGACAGCTTGGAGCCTGGAGCCTGCTTCGGTTTCTGTGTCTGCATCTCACTCCGCCCCTTCTCTGTGCATGCTCTCTCTCTCAAAATAAAGAAACATTAAAAAATTTAAAAAAATATATTTGTAGGAGACTTTGCAAGTCCTCAATATAAGTATGCAGTTGACCCTTGAATGACACGGGTTAGGGACGATGATCTTGCCACACAGTCAAAAATCCATGTATAACTTTTGACTCCCCCCAAAACGTAACTGCTAATAGCCTACTGTTAACTTAAAGTCTCACCAACAACATAAACAGTTGATTAACACGTTTTGCATGTTATATGTATTATATACTGTATTCTTATAATAAAGTAGGCTAGAGAAAAGACAATGCTATTAAGAAAATCATAAGGTGGAGAAAATATATATATTTAAAGTATATATACTATCCTGCAAAAGATCTGCATATAAGTGGACTTGTACAGTTCCAACCCACATTGTTCAAGGGTCAACTGCACATTCAAATTCATGAACACCTGTGAGTCAAAGAGGAAGTACTAAAGGGAATTAGAAAATATTTTGGGGGTGCCCAGGTGGCTCAGTCGGTTAAGCATCCGACTTTAGCTCAAATCATGATCTTGTGGTCCGTGGGTTCAAGCCCCTCATCGGGCTCTATGCTGACAGCTCAGAGCCTGGAACCTGCGTCAGATTCTGTGTCCCTCTCTCTCTGCCCCTCCCCTGCTCTTTCTCTCAAAAATAAATAAACATTAAAAAAAAATTTTTTTAAGAAAATGTTTTGAACTGAATAAAAATGAAAACCTTTTTTTCTAACATGAATATTTAATGCTATAGATTTCCCTCTGCACATGGAGGCATTTCACAAATGTTTTGGATATGGTCTTTTAATTTTTATTCAGTTTGGGTTGTCCACTTTGCAGCTATCATAAAGAATGCTGGGGGGCACCTGGGTGGCTCAGCTGGTTGAGCATCCAACTTCAGCTCAGGTCATGATCTCACAGTCCGTGAGTTCGAGCCCCGCGTCGGGCTCTGTGCTGACAGCTCAGAGCCCGGAGCCTGCTTCGGATTCTGCGTCTCCCTCTCTCTCTGCCCCTCGTCCTGTCACGCTCTGTCTCTCTCTCTCAAAAATAAATAGACATTGAAAAAATTAAAAAAAATAATAAAATAAGGAATGTCGGTATGGACACCCACAGAGAAGACTTTGTGTGGCTGTATGTTTTCATTTCTCTCGGGTGTATGTAAACATAGGGGTAGAACTGCTGGGTCATATGATTAACAGTTTGAGAAACTGCCAAGCTATACTCCAAAGTGATCATCCCACATATTTTGAAGAATGTAAGAGGAGAAATAGTCTATGTTAACTGTGTATAGCCACCGTTATATACTATTTACGTTATATATTTACTATTTTTAACACGTATTTACTGTACATAACCAAATATTTATGATTTCTATTGTTTTTCCATTCTTTTCTATTTTATTTTATTTTATTTTTAAGTAATCTCTACACCCAACGTGGGGCTTGAACTCACAACCCCAAGGTCAAGAGTCACAGGCTCTTCTGACTGAGCCAGCCAGGCATCCCATATTGTTTTTCCATTATTCTTGAATTTCCAGGTTTTCTTCTCATACCATTTTCCTTCTATCTGAGGAAAAAAAAAACCCTTCCTTCAGTAATCCATTTCCAATAGGCCTGCTGGCAATGAATTCCCTTAGTTTTCTTTCATCTGAGAATGTCTCTATTTCACCTTCTTTCTGGAAGGATATTTTTTTCTGGTTATTCTGGGTTGGTAGTTCTTTTCTTTTAGCTCCCCCACTTTTTTAATGTTTATTTTGGGGGTGCCTGGGTGGCTCAGTTGGTTAAGTGTCTGACTTCGGCTCAGGTCATGATCTCACGAATCGTGGGTTTGAGCCCCACGTTGGGCTCTGTGCTGACAGCTCAGAGCCTGGAGCCTGCTTCAGATTCTGTGTCTCCCTCCCTCTCTGCCCCTTCCCCACTCTCTCTCTCTCTCTCTATCTCCCTCCCTCCCTCTCAAAAACAAATAAACATTAAAAAAGATTTTTTTTCAGTTTATTTTGAGAAGGGAGAGAGAGAGCGCGCGCACACACACACACACACACACACACACACACACACACACGAGTGAGTGGGGGAGGGGCACAGAAGAGGGAGAGAGAGAATCCCAAGCAGGCTCACACTCAGCATGGAGTTGACTTGGGCTTGAACTCACCAACTCTGAGATCATGACCTGAGCCAAAATCAAGAGTCAGACGCTTAAGCTTACCCGATGAGCCACTCAGGTACCCCTATGGGATTCCTTTCTTGACCTCTCTCTTCTTTCCCACACTGGCTCCAAAGGCACCCCTGTCTGGTCTTCTGCTAGAAAGTTAGAACTTCCATCTCTCCACTCTTCTGCATACTTCCTGTGACTGGGTCTGCCTTCATGGCCAACTGGGAAGACAGAGGGAGAAAAAAAAGTGACAGAGATTCCCTTCCTACTTTCTGAACCACAAATCCATGGTCCAGAGAAGGACTCCCGTCCCTCAGAGTTTTAGATACCTATCCAGCTGCCACTTCTCCTGCTGTCACTACCATACAGGTTTGCAAGCTTCCGGAAGAGGGCTTGCCGAGATGCACATGTGGGAGAGAAAAGAATCCAGGATTTCCCCCACTCTTCTGGGGGGGGGGGGGGAGATCATGACCACAAACAGAGAGCTTCTGTTAGATCTCTTTCTGCCTTCCCCTGATGCTCAGCTCTGGGATTCATGTTGCCTTTGAGCTGGGACATTTAAGAGGAAGAAAATAAATCCAGGAAATTCACTGCCATATGGTTCTTATTTTGAGTTCTGGTTTCCTTCTCCAAGTCACCTGCCAGCGTCTACTTTTCCTCAGAAAGCTACCCCATGCGTTATGCCCAGGGTTTTTAGTTGCATTTAGTAGGAGATGGAGTAGGGACTGCTTACTTTATCTTAACCAGAACGGGAATCCTGATAGAATTCTTTTGGTTCTTTTTTTCTTACTCCATTTTATTCTAATTGTTTGGATGCTATGTATTCTGTCTCTGTTCTTCATTACAGATTATTCTTTATTGCAGTGAATCTCAAACAGGGCTAACCACTCCCCACCCCCGCCAAGGGACATTTAGCAATGTCTGGAGACATTTGGGGCCATAAATGTCTTGGGGAGAGATTGCCACTAGCATCTAGTGGGTAGAGATCAGGGATACTGCTAAGCATCCTACGATGCACAAGACATCCCCCACAACAAGGAATCATCTGGCTAAAATGTCTGTAACACTAAGATTGAGAAACCTTGCTTTATTGTGTGCATTTGAAATTTTCTCATGCATACTTAGCTTTATGTAAAGTTAAATAATATCTTAACCCACTTCCTTTCCCGAGCAAAGCAAGGACTTGGACAAATTTAACTCCAATCTCTTCTGTCCAGATTTAAATGCTATTTTGTCTAGAGTTTTTAGTTCTGTTCTATTTTAAAACCTCACAAATTACATATTATGCTTATTATAGCAGGTAATTTTTGTTAGGTCTTAAACTGTCAGTTTATCTGCCTGCTTCCTGATGCTCAGACCATCTTTCTGGGATCATTTTTCCTGGAAAAAAAATTAGGTAGACAGATAGATAGATATTTAGAGAGAAAGAGAGAATGAGAAAGAGAATTTTAGCAGTTCCTTTATCACAAGCATTTTGGTAAGTTCCCTTAGTTTTTATTTTTCTATGAATGTCTTTATTTCATCTCTGTTCTTTTTTTTTTTTTTTTTAGTTTATTTATTTATTTTGAGAGAGAGAGAGCACATGTGTGGGAGGGCAGGAGAGGGAGAGAGAGAGAATCCCAAGCAGGCTCCACGCCATTGGTAGAGCCTGATGCTGGAACTCACGAACCCGTGAAATCATGACCTGGGCCCAAACCAAGAGTCAGTCGTTTAACTGACCAAGCCATGCAGGCACCCCTATTTCACCTTTGTTCTTGAAGATAGTTCCTATGGGTCCACAAGTCTACCTAAATGCTTTGATGATTTGATTCCATTGTCTTCTGCTTTCTGTTGTTACTGTCGAGAACTCTGCAGTCATTCTGTTATCCCTTTATCGATGATCTGTTGTTTCTCTCTGCCCATCTTTAAGATGGTCTGTGTCAACCTTCTCCCACAGTAAAGCCAGAATTTTGTGCAAGAGTTGGGTCTTTTATTCTCAACACCCTTCCTGATTCTACTAGCATTTTATTTTATTTGTTTGTTCGTTTGTTTGTTTAAAGTTAGCTCTATACCCAATGGGGGGCTTGAATTCACAACCCCCAGATCAAGACATTGCATGCTCTACTGACTGAGCCAGCTAGGCACCCCGCTGCTTAGCATTTTTAAAGCCATCAGCCCTCTCCTTCCTTATTCTCTGGCCATGGTGTAACTTGGAGAGAACTGTATGCATGGCGTCTGAGTTGGTGTTACACTTGTTATTTGCATGTCTTTTTTTTCCCACTAAGCTGTGAGTTGCTTGAAGATAGTCTATTTCCAGCACCGTGCATGGACCTAACACATAGTAAATGCTCAGTGGATGTTTGTTGGATGGATAGATGGACGGATGGATGGATGGACAGATAAGTAGAGGGACAAATGTGTGGCCGCAGGTATCTATCTGGCTAAAGTACAAGTGAGATTGTATGAATTTACCTGAACTATTTCCCAATGACCTGAATACACCCAGGTAATTCATGCGATTAGGAAGCGGAGATCTGCCATACATGCTCTCCAATGATCCTTTTTTTTTTTTTTTTTTTTTTTGCCAACGCTATATTGACAGAGAATCACTGGCAGACTCTGGTCTTGAGGAAAGCTGCAAAACAAGTCAAGAGGATATCAGAAGCAAGAGAATTTGAGAATATGCTTCCCAAGCAGGTGAGCACATGATTGGAAATTTAATAGTAGAGATGATTTCAGAGGGGCTAGGAGATCTGGGGAGAAAAGCCAGCCCTGTGAAGATGTCAGGGTCAGAGTGGGGGTATTTCTTACAGACGTGGGTGATATAGTCAGGAAATCTCCTAAGGGTAATTCCTGGTGGAGGTAGGTACCCGTTGACTGAGCTTTTTACCTGGATTTCTCCAGGGATTTAAATTACCTGCTTGAAATTCAGGAGCCTTGGTGTAATGGGAAGAGAGCACTGAGCCTCATTGCCCTACCCTAGAAAACGGGACAGTAATTCCTAGGTCATGGCGCTCTTATGAGGTTCACCTGAGATAGTGATATTTAACATGTAATGGACATTTACTACATGTTGGACATTAAACTAAACCTGTACACGCAGTATATTTTATTTTACTGTCACAGTCCTCTGAGATAATTCTTCCTAGTCTTCTTCAGTTTATTAGTGAGGAAAGTGATGCTCAGAGCGTTGTCTAAATTCACAAAGCCGATGAGTGTTAAAGCCAAGAGTTGCACACGGATCTGTCAGACTGTGAGCCTGAGCTGTTAATCACTGAGCTTTGCCACTAGCAAAGTCCCCCGAACTCGAAAGTCCCTGGATTAATGTGTTTTCTCTCCTCTTCTCCTCCCCGCCCCTAGCTCTTCCCCACAAACCTCTGCGGACGGTAGTTTACATCAGTGGCACCTTCAGCCTGCAGTTCTAGAGCCTTCTTCATTTCTCCATACTTTACCACTGCCTGTTGCCCCTCAGCATTTAGCGGTGACGTTCTGAGAAGTAGGGCAGGGCATGATGGAAAAGACAGACGGACATGGGTTCAGATCTTGGTGCTGAATCTTTTCAGCTGTGTTACTTGAGCAGGTGACTCAACGTTTCTGACCTCCTTCCATAAAACGGGGAAAATAAAGTCCAGCAGTGGTGATGGCCCTTCCTGCCGACAGGGCTGGCGGTGGGTGACCAACAGTCGTGTCCTACTCTGTGACCCAGCTTGGTGGGGAGGGGAGGCCAAGCGGGTGGAGTGGATGGTGGTAGATGTTAACAGGAATGGGAAGCAGCTGAGAGCCAATGGCCTGGCAGAGACAAGGGGAAGGGAAGTGCCAAAGGAGAGCCAGCTCAGTACGCTATTCACGGGGGCCCCTGGACACTCCTGACCGAGGAGCGAACGTGTGATTCTACCACTTGAGGCACAGCTTGGATGTAACCTGCTGCCTGTTCTTTGCCCATGGTCAAATCAAACAGCGTTGCAGGGCACGTAATAAAAAGTAAATTTCTCTTTCACGCCAGACCCTATGCCCCTGACCCAGAGGCAAACACTATTTTCCCATATATCCTTCCAGAAATATCGGGCGGATATCAAGGAATACAAACCTTTTTTTTAATATATACAAACCACAATAGAATATACACTATTTTGCACTTTGCTTTTTCAACCTAACACATAATGGCCAACATGTATTGAGTGCTTACTGTATGCCAAACATCATTCTAAACACGTCATATGTAGTGACTCATTTAATCTTCACACAACCCTATGAAAAGTAGTTTTTACTTATTATCCCCATTTTAGGCTCAGAAATATTAAGTATTTCACTTCATGCCAAATGGCTAGTAGGTGGTAGAACCAAGATTTTCAAAAGGATACAATTTATATACGATACAGTTCAGCATTGTAATGTACAATTTAGTGGGCTTTAGTTTAGTTGTGCGATCATGACCACTCTCTGATTCCAGAACACTTTTATCACCCCAAAAAGAAGGTGCATACTCATTAGCAGTCTCTCCCCGGTCCCCTGTCCCCCCAGTCTCTTCAGCCACCAATCTACTTTTCTGCCTGTACAGATTTCCCTTTTCTGGACATTTCGTATAAATGGAATCATACAATCGGTGGCCTTGTATCACTAATTTCTGTCACTTAGCATAATGTTTTCAAACTTTATCCATGCGGTATCAGTACTTAATTTCTTTTTATGGCTGAATAACATGCCGTGTATGACTAGACCACACTGTGTTTATCCATCTACTGGCAGATGGACATGTGGGTTGTTTCCATCGTTTGGCTGCTATGAATAACACTGCTTCTATGAACATTCACATACAAGTTTTTGTGTGTGCATATTTTTTCTGTTCTCTCGGGTATGTACCCAGGAGTGGCATTGTTGGGTCATATGGTAACTCTGCGTCTAACTTCTTTAAAAAAAATTTTTTTTTTAACGTTTCAAAAATTTTTTTTAAGTTTATTTATTCATTTCAAGAGAGACAGAGAGAGCAAGCAGGGAAGGGACAGAGAGAGAGGGAGAGAGAGGGAATCCCAAGCAGGCTCTGCACTGTCACCATAGAACCCGATGCAGAGCTCGAACTCACGAAACGCGAAACCATGACCTGAGCTGAAACCGGGAGTTGGACGCTTAACTGACTGAGCCACCCAGATGCCCCCCAATTTTTTTTTTAACATTTATTCACTTTTGAGAGAGAGAGATAGAGTGTGAGCAGGGGAGGGGCAGAGAGCAAGGGGGACACAGAATCCAAAGCAGGCTCCAGGCTCTGAGCTGTCAACACAGAGCCCGATGTGGGGCTCAAACCCATGAACTGTGAGATCATGACCTGAGCCAAAGTCATGTGCTTAACTGACTGAGCTACCCAGCTGCCCCGTTTTTGTTTTTTCTATTCTTAGTAGAAATAGGACAACTTTTGAGGTTCTTAGTCTTTTGCTTATAATTCGTTTGTAGGAGTTCAATTCTTTGTCATCTGTTTGGCAAAAATGTTTACTATTTAATCTTTTTACTTTAATGATGGTATTTTATGTGAGAAAATGTAATTTGGGGGGAGAAACTTATAATTTTTTAAGAGCCATATTTATTGGTCTTCTGTTTTATGGGTTTTTTTTTTTTTTCAACGTTTATTTATTTTTGGGACAGAGAGAGACAGAGCATGAACGGGCGAGGGGCAGAGAGAGAGGGAGACACAGAATCGGAAACAGGCTCCAGGCTCTGAGCCATCAGCCCAGAGCCCGACGCGGGGCTCGAACTCACGAACCGCGAGATCGTGACCTGGCTGAAGTCGGACGCTTAACCGACTGCGCCACCCAGGCGCCCCGGTTTTATGGTTTCTTGATTTCATTTCTTATTAAGAAAGATCTTTATCACTCTACGATTATGTGAGATATTCTCCCAATTTTTCCCCAATATTTTTATATGATCACCTATTCACAATACAAAAACGTTACTCACATAACCGAATGTCACCAGGGGTCACTCTGCTCCTTTGAATTTAGCCAAAGATCGGCTCAAGCATTTGTTACAGGATTTGTTTGAAGCCCAGTCCTCTCCCCAAATGTCTGTGAACTTGGGGGGCTTACTGGCACCCAGCCCCTCTTCTGTCCTGCATGTGCTGTGCACCTACCACATGGGCCCAAATACGCAACCCCCCTCTTCCCTTCATTTTCGAAAAATCGCCCACACAGGCTTGTGTATGTGTCGTGCAGACAGAAGGTATCACTAAGTTTAAAGAGGTGAGAATAAGGGAGACCTCATCACAGTGGGGCCAAGAACAGTGAGTTGCTCTTAGAAACCTTTTAGTTGCCCCACCAGTTGGACCCACCCTCCACTTTCCTCTCTTTTCTTTTTGAGAGAGAGAGAGAGAGAGGCACGAGTGCAAGTGGGGGAGGAGCAGAGAGAGGGGGACAGAGGATCCCAAGCAGGCTCTGTGCTGACAGCAGCGAGCCTGATGCGGGGCTTGAACTCAGAAACCGTGAGATCGTGACCCAAGCCAAAGTCAGACAGACGCTTAATCAACTGAGCCACCCAGGCGCCCCTGTCCATGAGTCATCGAAAACACTAAGGATGTTTAGGTTGGAGAAGGCAACAATGAGAGAAGATCAAGGGCCCTCCTCAGATATTTTAAGGACTATTCCATAACACGTGGTTCTGGAGGAAGATCGGTTAGAATTACAGAGAGTCAGATTTTTATCTCGGGTGAGAAAGAACTTCCTCAGGGTCCAAGTTGTCATTTTAAACCAGTTTTACCCCCTGGCTCTGCAGCAGACCATCCGCAGGGCTTGTTCCAGCTCTGACTCTCAGACCTCTTGAAACTCATTCCTCTTGCCAGGTCTCTGATGCCAACCCTTCACCCTAGCCCCTACTCTGCTTTCTCCCTGCCCCTTGGATCTGATGTCTCAGAACCTCTCTCCTCTTGCACACTGGCCCACCTTTGCCCGGTGCTGTGGCTAGGACCAGCCCTTCGCACTCCCGTCCCCAGGTCTCAGTACCCAAGGCCCCTCCCCTGCCTCCTCCCTGCGAGGAGAAATCAGGTCCTTACCAACCTTGGAACTGGATGCTTCTGAGGGTAATATGTTCCTTGTTTCCAGAGTTAGGGAAGCAAAAATGGACCATTCCCTTTTGCTAATATTATCAAAAGGAGGTATATTCGTTGGAATTCTTTGCTTATAAGTGCCAAAATCCGGCCTTGGCCACCGTGAGCAAAGACTAGAAGAACATCGAGTAGCTAGAAAGTCTGAAGTGAGTCCAGGGACCAGGAGAAGAATCATGGCCCTTCCAACCCTTGAACCATCTCTTCAAGGTAACATGTCTGGAATGGGTAAGCCCCGAAGTGTTTCCAGTCTACAGTTTACCCCAGTCAAGACTCAAAATCCCAGGAGCGGGAATTTTGACTGACCAAGCTTATTGCACGTGCCCTGGTTCTAGCTGGGTGGGTGAGAGGCAGGCTCTGGAAGAAACTGTGAAACCTCTGAAGACCCCTCCCCACCCATGGCCCTGCTAGTGGCCTTCACAGGGGAGCAAGAATTTTTTAAAATAATTTTTGAAAACAATTTTTTAATGTTTATTTATTGTTTATTTATTTTTGAGAGACAGAGAGAGAGAGAGAGAGCAAGCAGGGGAGGGGCAGAGAGAAAGGGAGACACAGAATTTGAAGCAGGCTCCAGGCTCTGCACTGTCAGCACGGAGCCCAAAATGGGGCTCGAACTCATGCACTGAGCGATCATGACCTGAGCCGGTCAGATGCTTCACCCACTGAGCCACCCAGGCACCCTGGGGGAGCAAGACTTTTGGCTTAAAGTCCCCACAAGCCTGAAGGCAGTGGAGGGCAGGTGAACTCCCTCCAGTGCAAGAATCGGGGGCTGTCAGGAAAGGAGGGTGGATTCTGGGCAGACAAAAGAACAAGTTTAGGATAAATGGGGAATGAGATTAGTGGACCCTGGGTCCACTTTGGAATCTTCTAGACTGTGGGAAACAATTTGTTTTTCACCAAATAAGTTCACTAAAGCAAAATGACCGCTTATCTGCCATCACCATCATTTCATAGAAGGAAGGTTATTAATACAAAAAAGCAGAAAAGGCAATCTCAGAATAAAAGAACGTCCTTAAAGTGAATACACTCACTTTAAGTCAGATTTACGGCAATATTTTTTTTTTCCTTCTTGCCCTCATTTCACTGGAAACCAGTGAACACAGACTTGCCCCCTCGTAGGCCGTAGGGTTTAGGAGTCTTGGGCTAAGTGATGTGCAGCTTCCTTACTAGCCCCAAGTTTCTGTGATCCCAGTGGGATCTTGCTGTTGAACAGTGATTCTCCATAGGGGCTGGGGAGGGGCAAGTTTGCCCCCTGGGAGACTTGGCCCCTGCCTGAAGACATTTCCAGTTGTCACAGCTGGGAGTAAAGGAGGAGATGGCATCCTACTGGCATCTAGAAACCAGGGATGCCGCCCAGCTTCCTACTATGCACGGGACAGCTCCCACCACCATCAGTTTTCTGTCCCAAGATGTCGAATGACGAGGTTCAGAGACTGTTATAGACAGAAGAAACATCTCAGGAAGCAATTCAAATCCAAAAAGGCTTAGAGAAGAGTGCACTCAGGCGTCGTCATAGCCCTTATGCAGGAGGCAGAGTTTTTTAGTTAAATTATAACTCCTTCTTTAAATAAAATGTATTACTTCTTTAACCCAACACCCCCCAACCACTGCAGAGACCTCTTAACCACTCCTCACATCCCCTCTCACCCACTGCAGGAGTTTCTCTACATTGCACTCCTAGGGATCTGCAGAAAAATTAGTCCGATTACGTTGAGCCCCAGCTCAAACCTTCTGGTGGCTTCTATCACACTTACAAAAAGATTGTGGTTCCTTACCTTTTCACAGCACCCCCCCTGCCCCCGCCACCGACCACTTCATGGAAAAGATCCCTCTCCTCCCCCGTCTCCCTTCCCACCACCCTCCACCCTTTGCCCCACTTCTTTTTTTTTTTTTCTTTTTTTCTCTTTTTTTTCTTTAAAGATTTTAAGTAATCTCTATACTCAGTGTGGCCTCGAACCCACAACCCTGAGATCCAGGGTCAAGAGTCACATGCCAAGCGCCCCACCTGCTTGATCCTTATCTGAAGCACTTATTATTCCATAATGTCATGTTATTCTTTTATTTGTTGGTTTGCTGATTGTCTTTGTCTCAACTGTAATGCAAGCTCCATTAGAATTTGTCTTCTCAGCTGAATCCCCAGCACCTAAAACAGTGTATACACGTGGTAGGGACCCAATAAATATTTGCCGAATGAATCGTTAACATTTTGGTAACTATGCTTCCAGTCTCCCGTCTATCTTTTTTTTTTAACTGATTTATTTCATAGAAAAGATACAGGGGCACCTGGGTGGCTCAGTTGGTTAAGTGTCCAACTCTTGATTTCACCTCAGATCATGATCCCACCATCATGGGCTGAAGTCCTGTGTCGGGCTCTGTGCTGAGCATGGAACCTGCTGGAGAGTCTCTCTCTCTCTCCCTCTGCCCCTCTCCCCAACTCGCACTCTTTAAAATAAATAAATAGACATTAAAAAAAAAAAAGAAAATACATAATATCATCTACCCAATTTTGCCTCTTGATTTTTAAAAATTTTATTTTAGAGACAGAGAGCACATAAGCAGAGTAGAGGGGCAGAGAATCTCCGCACTGAGTGTGGAGCCTGACACGGGGCTCAATCCCACGACCCTGAGATCATGACCCGAACCTAAATCGAGAGTCAGATGCTCAGCTAACTGAGCCACCCAGGCACCCTGCATCTTGGGTTTTTTTTTTTTTTTTTTAATGTTTATTTATTTTTTGAGAGAGAGACAGAGCACAAGAGGGGGAAGAGCAGAGAGAGAGGGAGGCACAGAATCCCAAGCAGGCTCCAGGCTCTGAGCTGTCAGCACAGAGCCTGATGTGGGGCTCAAACTCATGAACCGCGAGATCATGACCTGAGCTGACGTCAGACGCTTAACCAACAAAGCCACCCAGGTGCCCCGGTGCATCTTGATTTTTTAATGTACAATCAGATATGAAACAGTTCCTTAGTATTGACTCTTGATAAACACTTTAATAGTGGCATAACTATTTCTTGGGGTAGAGATACCAACATCTTCTTGAACACTCAGTTTATTCTGATCTTTTGCCATTGTAAATATCTATCTGATTTAGTACTTAAATCTTTTTTTCTTTAATTGGTGTAATTTCTTTAGGATGGCATCCTAAAACTGGAGTTACTGGACAAAGAATATGATGAGTACCTTTCCATTTCTTAATACAGGCTGTAAAAATGACAATATCTTATTTTTCCCTCTCTCTTTCCTATTCAGTCTTACCCAGCCTGCAAAAGCCCCGAGCCGACTTTGAACTTCTTCAACATTTACGGGAAGAGCCCTCTGATTGTGCACTTCCTCCAGAACCACGCCAGTCTGCAACAGCACGGCAAAGACGTGTTGATAGTCAGAAGGGAAAAAACCAAGAGCATCCCATATCCTTTCCTCCAGTGGGCAGGGCTCACGTTACGCCAGGCCTCTGCTTCTCCCAGAAGCAAGGGTGTGGAGAGGTACCCAGCCCTGAGCACAGTGCTTGGCGCATAGTAGGTGCCCGTCGAGGGTAGCCATTGATAGGAGCCTAAGGGTCATTTTAGTTCCAAATCTGCCTCATGAGCTAGCTGTGTAGGATCCTGGGCAAGTTAAATTTCCCTGTGTGCAAAATCTCTTCCTGTCTACCAGGGTGAATGCTAACTAGGTGTTCAAACATATGTTGCAGCTCAGTAATGCCTCCCAGAGGCTCACTGACCCTAGAGTGTGTATCGATCAGGATTTTGGGTATAGGTTTGTTCTAACCTCCTCCTCACACACACGCCCCTCCTCCAGGCTCATCAGCAAATCCCTGGCCCTGTTGGCATTTATCTTAAAGATTGGGGAACCGGCTCAGATCTTAAGAAAACAGATGTGACATGTTGGTGTCCTGAGTCCTAGCAAGCAGTTTGCCATAGGGGGTCAGAACAGGGAATCCGGTAAACCTGGACTCAAGATAACAACCCAACTGTTGACCAGCTGAGTGACCTTAGACAGGGCTCAGCTTCTCTCTTAGCCTCGTTTTTGTTGTTGTTGTTGTTGTTGTTGTTGTTGTTGTTTTCCATCTATAAAATAGGATAACGACACCCGCCTTCTAGGGCTGTTATGCAGAATACAGGCACAACAGCCATAAAGGCTTACCATAGTGCCTGGCAGGTAACAAGTGCTTGAATGTCACCTGTCAATACACCGTTTCCCAGCAGGAAGAGCTTCCAGAATGGACTGGGCAGCACTTGCCCGGTAGAGCTCATATCCCCAAGTGTATTTATGTGCCTATAGGCAGAGAATAATAGCTCACATTTCATAGCACTTTATTATTCATAAAGCACTTTCCCATGTATCACCTCTTTGCTCAGTAGACAGTGGAATGCAGCGGAAGGAGCCTGGGCTGGGGACACATAGCCCCAGATCTGAGTCCCAACTCAGCAAGCCACCGGCCTTAAGGCCTCGTGTGCACAGTTCAACCTCTGAGCTCAATGTCTTGATCAGCTCCTTCCTCAAATAGGGATAATCATACCAAACCAATAGAGCTGTGACCAGGATTATGTGGTAGATGGCTGACTCTAAATAAGTAATAACTATCGTAATTATTATTAACATCATCTAAGGTAGGAATGATTATCCCTATTTTACAGAGGAGAAAATGGAGACGTAGACAATGACTTATCTTGACTTGAGCATCCCAAACTTGTGAGATGCTGATGGATCCAGAAGGGGTAGAGAGGGAGGGGGAGGCACAGAGGTGGGGGAGGCACAGAGGATTTTTCAACGTACACACATGAAATAGAGGATGAGCCCTTGGGACGGAAAGGAAAGGAAAGTTGGAATCCTTTCCTCTTGGCCACTGTGACAATAGAGTAAGAATTGTATTTATTTGTTTATTTTTCGTTGAAGTGTAGTTGACTTACAATACTGTAATAGTTTCGTGTGTGCGACGCAGTGACTTGACAATTCTATACATTATGAAGCACCTCCCACAATAAGTGTAGTTACCATCTGTCACCAGACAGAGTGGGAATTTTAGATGGCAGTCCCGAGAAAGCATTTCCTAGCCTTTCCATCAGCGGGAGGAGAGAAGGGCTTTATTGGGGAGGATAGCCTCTTGCCTTCCAAAGTAGGCCATGGTCAAAGAGCAGGAGTCATTTCCTGCTCAGATTCCAGTGGTCTGGTCCAGAAGCAGGTCATTTTCCCCACTCTGCCATCTCACCACCCCCCGTTCCCGGCCCGGCCATGCACGAGGCCATCCCGCTGATCAGGCTCAGAGTCAATAATACCAACTGACAATGTGGCGGTTTCCTTGACGGCTGAAGCCACTGAGTCCATCCTGACGTACGCCGAGGTCATCGAACTGACCCTGATCAACATGAAGAAGCGGAAGGAAAACCTTCGTGTGCTGAACTGGCTCCACTGGAATGAATGGAGTTACTTTCACGAATACCTAAAGGCACTACAAGAAAACTTCCTCAGGTATTTAAGGGCTTTAGGGAAGGGGCATTGTTTGAGCACCTGTCTATTGTCACACGTGGCAGGTTTTAATTGGAGGCCTAGCCCTGGGACTATCTTTTTTTTTAAGTTTATTTATTTTGAGAGAGAGAGAGAGAGGGAGTGGGGAGGTGGGGCAGAAAGGGAGAGAGAGAGAATCCCAAGCAGGAGCAGGCTGCGAGCTGTCAGCGCAGAGCCCAACGCAAGGCCTGATCCCACGAACTGTGAGATTATGACCCGAGCCGGAATCTAGAGTCGGATGCTTAACCGACTGAGCCACCAGGTGCCCCTAGCCCTGGGACTCTCTTAAGCACATTCAGCTTTCTTGTGGTTAGAATGTAAACCCCAGAAAAACAGAGACCGGATCTTTCCCTGAAAGTTATTTTTTTCTTAAACTACAACATCATTTATGTTCAGTGAGAAGAAACAAACAGACCTGGAAAAGCACCTGGCCAACATTTTTCTAGAAAAAGACCTAGTCTTTTCTCCTGGGTCCGTAGAGGTGTATCTCTAAAGAATCTAGTTTACAGTCTAGACAATCTGTCAACCTAGTTTTTAGACTTTTTTTCCTGCTTAGCGCATGATGGATATTTTCCTGTGCCTCCAGCCATTTGCAATATTTTTAATTTCTTTCGAAAATGTCCAGACCTTCCAGAAATGTTAAAAGAACAGTGCAGTGAACATTGTATGCCCTCACTGTGTTTACCAGTTTTCCACATTTTGCCACATTTTCTTTCTCTCTCTAGTAATTAGGTCAAATTCATTTCCCCAGTGGTGCCCAGAATATCCTTTTTGGTCCTACTTTGACTGCTTCCCAGTCAAAGATTGGGAATTATAATTTTTGTGATATCACCTTGGTGTCTTTTAATCTATACTGGTGCTCTTCCTCCAGCTTTGTTATTATTCCCTGAATCAATTATTACATTATTAGTTTCTTATGACATAGATTTTTTTGAAAGACTCAAGCCACATTCTGTATTTTACTGATTATTCCTTCAGGGTATCATTTATTCCAATATATCCTCTATTTCTTAAAAAAATTTTTTTTCATGTTTATTTTATTTTTGAGAGAGAGAGAGAGAGAGAGAGAGAGAGCCTGAGTGGGGGAAGGGCAGAGAGAGAGAGGGAGACACAGAATCAGAAGCAGGCTCCAGGCTCCGAGCTGTCAGCCCAGAGCCCGACGTGGGGCTCGAACTCAGAAATGGCGAGATGGTGACCTAGGCTGAAGTCAGATGCTTAACCCACCCAGGCGCCCCATCCTATATTTCTTGTAGATGGGACATCGGGGCTATCCTAGGTGCTTGATAGGATTCAGATAAGATCTTTTTGCCAAGAACACCTCATAGACAATGTTATGAATGCACACTGCAAAACACCAGGAGACACTCGGTGTCAGGTCAGCCAGACCCGTGGTCTCTGCCAGGCCTCTCCACCGTAGACTCCATTTTTGTGTCGTTAGTCTGTAATAAGCGACGTGATTCCTTGAGACTGGATGAATAGGTTCTCCCCACATCTTCGCCCAGTGGTTTTAGCATCCCTGGATGGTCTTTGCCCGAATCAGTTCTTATATTTGGGTTTGCAAAAGGGCCATCTTCCGCCTCCACCATCCCCTCCCCATTTAATAGCTGGCACTTCTCTGTAAAGAAGAGATCACCTGCTTTCGCTCCTTGTGTCTCTCCCTCTCGTGTCTTCTTCGCCCGCTCCCGTAACTCTTTCACAGGGACATCCTGGCCACAAAGGAAGCTTAGGAAACATCTGGCAAAGAGAAATTAGATGTCCATGACTGGACCAGAGCAGGACCCGCTGGGCACTTCATTACCCAAAATAACACTGGATTCAGGGAGCAAGGGAGAGAAAGAGAGAATGGCTGTTGGCTAGGCAGCTATCTGTATCTGCCATAATAGGAGAGAAAGACAACTATGAACACATAGGTAACTACTTCAGATTCCAAGTGATATAGTGGCGTTAGTTTCAAAACATGATCCACGCACACTCACAAAAAACCCAGTAAACACCAGAACCACAAAAATGCAGTTCAGCCTAAATGTTCACCAGAAGATGATTGGTTAACAAGCTGTCATATGTGCATATCTGCAGCCAGTAAAAATGGCACTGTGAATTTAATGCTCTTATTTCATAAGGAAGGATAGTCAGAACATATTATTGAGACCAAAAAAAAAAAAAAATCAGGATGTGGGGTGGCTCAGTCAGTTGAACGTCTGACTCTTGATTTCAGCTCAGATCATGATCCCAGGGTCATGGGATCAAGCCCCGTGTCAGGCTCAGCACTAAGCATGGAGTCTGCTTAAGATTCTCTCTCTCTCTCTCTCTCTCTCTCAAAAAAAAAAAAAAAAAGGTAGTTAAAAAAAATCAGGCTGTAAAATAGTGTGTGTGATAGACACAGTTATTTATCCCCATTTTACAGAAGTCGAGGTCAAGGACAGAACCTTAGAGGGCCACCACATATATGGGGAGGACAAAATATGGGGCAGAGGAGGAGTGGCCAGAAGGAAAGGAGAGCCTGTATGTCAAGATGCACCAACCATGAGGCCAAGGGAAGAAAGGGTTAAGGGAAGCAGTGATCAGCAGTGGGCGTGCCAGATGGAGAAGCCTGGGGCTGAGACGAGTTTGGTGATTAGGTAGAGGGTGGTCTTAGCAGGGCTGAAGTCGGACACCAGAGTCTGGGACCTTAGGGGCAAGGTGTGGACCCCCAGGGGTGAAGGAGACCACTAAGAAGCAGAAGGAACAAAATTCTGCACCAAAAAGGGCAAGGTTGGATGGTGAGTAATAGGGCTGTTTAAATGTAAAGTGGAAGATACAAGCCGGTGTGAAGGGGGAGAGATGGGAGTTGCAGGTGAGGGAGGAGAGGGTCAGGATCTGGAAGCGAGGGGACCCGGAAACGCTCTCCAGGACTCTCCTTGCTTCTGCCTTCGTTACTTTAGTTCCACATGCTTTGTTTCTTCTATACTTTGTTTCTTCTTTACTCATCGTCGCAACAGATTTTCAGCCACTTCTACGCACCAGGTGTTATGTCCTGTTTAGAACATACATGTCTGTCTCTCCCAACAGTTGCAACAATCCTTGAAGGTGGGATCCTTGGAATGACAGCGGCTAGGGTCTGGATGGAAGGGTTTTTATTTGCTGGCTCTGCGATGTCGGGCCGGTCACATGTATTCAGTTTCTTTGTTGGTTAAATGAAGATAGTATTTCCTACTTTGGAGAGTGGCACCGATCAAGTAAAATAAGGCACATAAAGCCTGTTTACAGGGCCAAGCCCACAGTAGGTAATTGGACCACTTAGAATAAGGCTTAGCTTCGAGTGACGAAAGAACTCAAAATAGTGGCTAAAACAGGATACAAATTTATTTCTACTGTTTAAAAGGAGTCCAGTAGATATGGCAGGTTGCAGTGTCAGGGACCCAAGTCCCTTTTGCCTTATTTCTCCATAATCCTTCGCCCATGATTCAGCTTCATAGTCTAATATAGCTGCTCGAGCTCCAGCCAACAGGTCCACGTTCCAGCCAGTAAAAAGGAAGCTAAGTCCGAAGAAATGCATCCCTCCTGTGAGTCCCATGCAAACCTTCCATTTTTCATTCCATTTTTCATTCCATTGACCAGAAAGAGTCACACCTAGCTGTGGCATTAGCAAGGCGAAAATAATTTAGGGCTCATACTACATTTATTGAACATTACATCTACAGTGTATTTATTTCAGCGATATATAAGGACATCCTTGTCTGATAAAGGCATCCTTATCAGGTGAATTGTAGTGTAGATATTTTAAGACAGGAGAAGCTTTGTAATTGTGTGTGAGCAATCTCAATGCTAAATATATCCATTTTTTGTTGGAGAAGGCATTTCATGAAGTGATTCTAAAAATTTTGTCTACAGAGGAAAATGGTGGCCTCAAAACACATCTGTGCTGTCAGACATCAGGGCAGGGCTACCCCTGGGAAAGTAGGGCCTGACTGAGTAGGATATGGTTGTGGGGGCCTCTGGGGAGCAGGCAGTGGTCTGTTTCTTGACCTGGGTGCTGGTTGTGGGTGGGCTCAGTACACAAAAACTCCTTGAGCTGCACATTTAGAGTCTATGAACTCTTTGGTATCTATGTTCTAAAGGAACATATTAAGGAATTCCTTCTCCTGGTGTGTTCCTTTCCCTTGAAATACTACAGTGGCTTTGCAGTTACCTTAGTTTTTAAAAGACTCCCATCAGGGGCGCCTGGGTGGCACAGTCGGTTAAGCGTCCGACTTCAGCTCAGGTCACGATCTCGCGGTTTGTGAGTTCCAGCCCCGCGTCGGGCTCTGGGCTGATGGCTCAGAGCCTGGAGCCTGCTTCCGATTCTGTGGCTCCCTCTCTCTCTGCCCCTCCCCCGTTCATGTTCTGTCTCTCTCTGTCCCAAACATAAATAAGCGTTAAAAAAATTTTTTTTTACTAAAAAAAAAAATAAAATAAAAGACTCCCATCTGAAAGAGATCCATAATGAAGCGTTGATGGATGCAACTACACGGTGTCTGGGATTTGCTTCAAGATAACCCATTTGGGGGCCGTCTGGGTGGCTCAATCAGTTAAGAATCTGACTCTTGATGTCGGCTCAGGTCATGATCTCGTGGTTGTGAGATCGAGCCCCGTGTTGGGCTCTGTGCTGACAGCACGGAGCCTGCTTGGGATTCTCGCACGCGCGCTTTCTCTGTCTCTCTGCCCCTCCCCAGCTCACGTGTACGTGCTTGCGCTCCCTCTCTCTCTCTCTCTCAAAATACATAAACATTTTTAAAAAATAATAAAAATAAATAAAATAACCCATTTGGGGTGGGAATGGGGAATGCAAAGGGAGTAATAAATGAATCAAGATTAACCTGTTGGTAACTACTGAAGTTAGTCTAATGGATAAATGGTGTTAATTATGCAATTTTCTTTTATATATATTTTTTGAATTTTTTTTTTTTTTAATGGTAGCTGTAACAAAAAACCAAAAGGTGACCCATGCCCTTTGGAGTATTACTTGCAGATGGGCTAGGACTCCTCTGGGACCTCAGTTACCACTTACAGAGCATGTCAGTTAGGTGAACTATTTTTGAGGTCGGACAGACCAAAGCTCTGTCTCTCTCTCTGCATGAATTAGGTCCATCATGTAGCCTGTGTGAGGTTTGGATACCATCTGTAAAACAGGGACACCGATTGTTCTCACAGGACAGTTGTAGGTGAACGGCGTTCCGTTGTAGATATCTAGCTCTGCGCCTGGCTCAGAGGAAGGGCTCAGTAAGTGAAGGCTGTCAGAGATCATACCCACAAGCCCACACCACGCAGAACAGGACTCGGAGTTGAAAGTTTGTAGTGGGGGGAGACCCGGAGCAGCCCCCCTTAGAAAAAGCAATCCAGGAGTCCCTGCTGTAGGTGGAGGAAGAGCCTAGTCTACCCGTGCCAATGGAGTGTGCACCGAGGGAGCCGGGTCACTGGCTGCCGGAAAACTTCGTTTACATGTGAGTCCAGAGCCCCCAATCCTCACGCTTGTCCGGGGGCAGAGCACCCACCATTCGAAATGCTCTTTGCAGAACCCCGTGAAAGGTTTCAACATATGATTCTGTCCCACAAACTAAAGATGCTTTTCCAGTGGAAAATACGGGCCTAAGGCATGCGTAGGCTTCAACAGCTCAAGAAGTAACAGTATAGAAAATATTACCGAGGAATTACGTCAACGCCTTTCCGTCAGAAAACGTGATCGTAACAAGGACACGTGCAATTTGCTGTCCCTTGCCTCTTCGTTGTACGCAGAAGCAGGCTCCCCAGGGTTAAGAAAAGTTGTGGCGGAAGATCCCCAACATAAGAATGTTGTTGCAGCAGAATTTCTTCCTTTGACGTGGGAAAAGATGCCCATTGTTGGGATAACCATTGGTTTTGATACAGGCAGGCTGAGTCCGAGGACCCAGGGAAGGTCCCCCAGGACCAGCCGAAGGGGTCCTTGACTTCGCGCAGGATAGAGATCAAATGCAAGCCAGAGAAAGTGAAAAGACTTTATTGAATAGTGTCAATGACAGGTAGAGAATAGCGGACGGATTGTCTGGGAGACTTGGAAAGGAAAGGAGAATGAGTCTCATCCCTGCTTGGGGTTAGGGGCTTATATTGGAAAGGGGTCTAAGGTACGTGTTTCTTCAGGAGTCCAGGGTGGTGTCCGATCAGAGGTGTCAGAACAGGTTCCATAAATTCCCGAAAGTAGGGATATTGATGCCAGTGTCAGCCTGGAACGTGTTTGGGATCCGGCTCCTCTTAGACATTATCGGGTGTCTGGGGGCCAAGGACAAAACTCAGACAAGAATTAACTTTCTTACTTCCCCCTAAAAGTGGGAACACAGCTTCTTTGGCTCATGCAGAAATGAGACCTAGCAGAAAAACAGCAGAGACGGAGCCTTTCTAAAATGGAGGCCCTTCAGCCTCCCTACCTCAGTTTAGGCCAAGTTCAATGCTGGTTTTTTAATACAAGTCCTTCTGCATCTATCCTGCATCAGCAGAGAAGTATCTGACAGCATCTTAATTCGCACGGATACATTTCTATTGCTCCTTTGTCTACCTTGAGTGCCCATACCTGCTTCTTCATCAAGTAAATGTCTGCTCATGTTTCAAAAGTCAGCTGGTTTATCATCCAATTCATCATTCCAAAAGTGTGCCACACGCTTACCTGACACACTCCGCCGAAAACCTTCTGTAAGAACACCAGGAGGAGTAGCCGGTATTTACTGGGCACTTCCTTTATTTTTTACGTGCCAGACACTATGCTAAGCACTTGACCTGTATAGTAACTCCATCAATCCTCACCACAACCCCACTTCCTATTATCACCGTGTTGAGATGGGTCCCCTGGCCTGGAGAGCTTAAGTAATCTGCCCAAAGTCACACAGCAAGTGGGAGCGCCCCAACCTGAATTCAGCTTGCCCTCAAAGCTCAGCTTTCTTTCAGATCACTGATTTCTTCACCTGTCCTCCTGATTTGAGTGTGTGTTCCTTGAGTTTAGGAACCACATCTTCTCTAGTTCTCCAAGGGCTGATATGACCCCTACAGCACACAGCAGGGGCTCATGACCGAGTTGTTGGTATGGAGTCAGCTCTCCACTTTAGTCAGCTGCTCTTAAATGAGTACATTTGTAAATATTTGTCTCTCTTTACGTATGAAAATAGGAGTGAAAAGATCATGTGGACTCTTGAGGTTTTTTTTCATATGTGCCGTTGTGATTTCCCCCACAGGGAGGTGAAGAATATCGATCAAAGAGCATTGGATCAAAAGAAGGCAAATCGCATGTTCATCCAACCTTCAACCTTCATTGAAGAGTCCCCCGACAAGAAATTTAGAGGAAACCATGAGAGGGAGATGGCGTTTATTTCAAGGTTTGTCCTGTTTTTCTTTCTTTTTTTCTTTTTTCTTTTTTTTTTTTTTGATGTTTATTTATTTTTGAGAGAGAGAGAGAGAGAGAGAGAAAGAGAGAGAGGCAGAGAGAGAGGGAGACACAGAATCCGAAGCAGGCTCCTGGTTCCGAGCCATCAGCACAGAGCCTGATGCGGGGCTTGGACTCACGAACGGTAAGATCATGACCTGAGCCAAAGTCAGATGCTTAACAGACTGACCGAGCCACCCAGCTGCCTCTTTCTTTCTTTCTTTCTTTCTTTCTTTCTTTCTTTCTTTCTTTCTTTCTTTCCTTCCTTCCTTCCTTCCTTCTTTCTTTCTTTCTTTCTTTCTTTCTTTCTTTCTTTTTCTTTTTCTTTTTTGTTTTGTTCTAATGTTTATTTATTTTTGAGACACAGAGAGAGAGCTCGTGTGTGCAAGCAGGGGAGGGGCAGAGAGAGGGAGTCAGAGGATCAGAACCGGGCTCTGCGCTGACAGCAGAGAGCCCGATCTGGGGTCTGACCTGAGAACCATGAGATCATGACCTGAGCCGAAGTAGGACCGTGTGACCGACTAAGCCACCCAGGCACCCCTCGAGGTTTGTTCTAACAAAGACCGTGGAAAAGTGGAAATGTGACCACTGTCAGAATTCTTAATGATGTGGAAATGTTGGAAATTTCAGAGCCGACGGCCAAGAAAGAATTTTTGAGACATCTTTGGTGCAAAAAGGTGGTTTTACTAAAGCAGGGGGACAGGACCAGCGGGCGGAAAGAGCCGCACTGGGGTCCTCAGGGGTGACTGATCATATGCTTGGAAGTGAGGTAAAGACAAGGGGACTTTTCCAAAAGGTTTTTCATGCTAAGGAAGACTCACCTCCAAGAAGCTTAGCTATTGTCAAGCTAAAGTTGTTTTTCCTGCTAGCAAAGCATGGACATTAAGACTGTTGGAAGTTCCTGGAGGAACGTCACACTCTGCCTGTCTCAAGGACCTGCCAATGGGCTGCGGGTTATAAGGAAATTTAATTTTATCTACATTTCTTCCTGCCTTTGTTCCCCACGTCACTAATACATGGAAAAGAGCACATGAAGGTTTACTCACTTTTATGTGTTATTCACCCAACTCTGATTTTCACTATAATTCATGGTAGTAGGCGGTGAGGTTTGGGAGTGAGGGGGGGGTATGTTTGTGGGGTTTAGAGCTGACAGCCAAGAAGGAACTCTTGAAGACATCTTTGGTGCAAAAATGTGGTTTTAGTAAAGCACAGGGACAGGACCTGGGGGCAGAATAGCTGCGCAAGTGTGGGGTTGACTATTTTATGGAGTTGGGGGGAGAGAGAGTCCAGAGGTAGTTTCCAAAGAGACTTTCATATGCTAAAGACTCACAGATTCCTGGAAGCCTAGCTATCCTCAAGCTAAGGTTGTTTTCCCCTCTGGCAAAACATTAACATTAAGACAGTAGGGGGGTCCTGGAGGAATGCTATTATACTCTGTATTTGCCTCAAGTATTTGTCAATGGGCTGCAGGTTATAAAGAAATTCAGTGTTACCTGCCATTTCCTTCTTGCCTTTGGTCCCCAGATCCCTATGGAGGGGTGATGTTGGGGCTCCAGGAAACTGAGTCTCTAGGTTTCTAGAGATGAGGCTATTGATAAGATTGCCTTTTTCTTCTAATTTAGTAAGATATTTGTCAACTGATAGATATTCTATCGTTTGTTTTCTGTCCTTTCCTTTGTCCTTTCCTGTGTTCGGGTAGCCGGGAATGTCCAAGGAATATCATACATATCCCACCTGGGAGGAGGGGTTTCTGCTAGCTTGTGCTTGGCCCTCCGCTTGCCTTAGGCTCCCTCACCAGTAATAAGAGTTACCAATGATTTTGTACCTCCTCTGTGCCAAGCATTTGTACTTTATGAACTGTACGTCAGTTCAAACTAGCTCGAGCGGGGGAAAGTCCAGTGGCTTCAATCACTGGGAAGGCCACAGACAGGCTGGCTGCAGGCAGGTTGGACCTAAGGGCTCAATGACATTTTAGGTTCTCTCTCTCTCTTTTTCCCTCCCACCCCCTTTCCCTCTGTGTGCTGGCTTGTTTTCCAAGCTGCCTTTGCCTACAAAAAAAGAGGGCCACGGACAGCCCCAAGTCTATGCTCTTACTGTCTATGACCTCAGAGGAAGAGGGACTTTCTTTCCCTGCCTCTATAAACCAAGCTTCATAAAAGTCTGATGGCTCTGCTTGGGTTAATGGCCCTACCGATCTGTGTATAACACAGTATTTAAGTATTCTTGAACACTGTGTTCAAGAAACAGTGCTATTTGATTAGCCAGACCTGAGTGTCCCTGTGGCCTGAGAGAGCAGGGCACAGTCCGTGACATAAGTGGAATGGGTGAGATGCCATCAGACAAAGACAACATGCCTACTTTATATCTCATCAAACCCTATTAGATATCATCACTGATGGGGTTTCGGGATGATGGTGGGGTTCGGAGCTGATGGCCAAGAAAGAATTCTTAAAGACGTCTTTGGTGCAAAAAGGTGATTTTGTTAAAGCATGGGGACAGGACCCTTGGGCAGAAAGAGCTGCACTGGGGTCGTACCCGAGTAACTAACTGTATACCTTCAGGTTGGGAGGGCGTTACGGATAGAGTAAGTCTCTAAGATATTTTGGAAGCAAGGTTTCCAGGACCTTGAGGGGCTAGCTGTGTTAGGCAAACGCCATTCGTTACCGTTTAGTAAAACCTTGGTCATGAGACCCTTCAGATGTATATCAGGGGGTCATACGCTTGGAGTAGGATTGCCAGCATATATCTTGGGGGAGTTGAGATAAAGGAAGTTTCGAAAGGAATTTTTATTTTTTTTATTTTTATTTTTTTTAATTTTTTTTTTCAACGTTTATTTATTTTTGGGACAGAGAGAGACAGAGCCTGAACGGGGGAGGGGCAGAGAGAGAGGGAGACACAGAATCGGAAACAGGCTCCAGGCTCTGAGCCATCAGCCCAGAGCCCAACGCGGGGCTCGAACTCACGAACCGCGAGATCGTGACCTGGCTGAAGTCGGACGCTTAACCGACTGCGCCACCCAGGCGCCCCTCGAAAGGAATTTTTATATGTTAAGGTAGACTTACGGGATCCTGGAGGTTGGGATAATGTTAAGCCGAGATTCCCTTTAGTCCCTAGCAAAGTGTCATCATCGAGGCAGCTGAGCTCCTAGAGGGAGGTCACTCTGCCGTTTCAAGGACGTGTCAGTGGGCTGTAGGCAGTAGGGAGTTTAATTCTTTTTGCCTTTGTTTCTCACATCACCATGGCAAGTACTTAAACCCCCTTACATCTATTTTTTTTTAATCTTTTAATTATTTTTGAGAAAGAGACAGAACATGAGCGGTGGAGGAACAGAGAGAGAAGAAGAGACAGAATCTGCAGCAAGCTGCAGGCTCTGAGCTGTCAGCACAGAGCCCGAAGTGGGGCTCGAACCCCCAAACCGCGAGATCATGACCTGAGCTGAAGTCAGAACTTCACCGACGGAGCCACCCAGGCATGCCCCAAACCCCCTTACATCTCGATGAGGGTGATATTAGGGCTCCAGGAAACGGAGTCTATAGGTTTCTGGAGATTAGGCTTGGATAAGATTGCCTTTTTCTTGCAGTTGACTGTTATTGGTAGACTGAAGGAGACTCCTGTCCTGCATGACTGTGACCTCTATCAGTCAGCCATCTTGCCTCTTTCCTTTTCCCCTGTTCTTGGGCAACCAGAAGTGTCCGAGGAATATCACACATTCCCACCTGGCAGGGGTGGGGGGTTGCTGTTAGTCTGTACTTTGCCCTCGGCTCCCCCCACCACCCCCCCATCAACCAATTCCATTTTGCTGAATGGAAAACTGAGGCACTGACAAGCCAAGTAAACACTGACTGAAGGCCTAGTGTGCCAGGTCCTAAAGATACAAAGAAACAAATACAGGCAAACCTTGTTTTGTTGCTCTGTGCTTTGTGGCACTTTGCAGACGCTGTATTTTTTTTTTTTTTTTTTTTTTTTTTACAAATTGAAGGTTTGTGGCCCCCCGTACATGGAACAAGCCTATTAGCGCCATTTTTCCCAACAGCATTTGCTCACTTCCTATCTCTACGGCACATTTTGGTAATTCCTGCAGTATTTCAAACTTTTTAATTATATTTGAATTACTGCAATCTCATGATAAGACTTTAATGGACGAGCAATTACTCGTAGGGATGAACATCCGCTCCTGGTGAAGACACTATGAAGATTGTTGAAATGACACCAAAGGATTTAGAGCATTCCGTGAACTTAGTTGATAAAGGGCTCCGGTTTTGAAAAAAGTTCTATGGGCAAAATGCTATGAAACAGCACCGCATGCTACAGAGAAATCTTTCGTGAAAGGAAGAATCCATCCACGTTGCAAACTTCACCATTGTCTTATTTTAAGACATTGCCACAGGGGCGCCTGGGTGGCTCAGTCGGTTAAACATCTGACTTCGGCTCGGGTCATGATCTCAAGGTTTGTGAGTTCGAGCCCCGTGTCAGACTCTGAGCCTGGAGCCTGCTTCGGTCTATGTCTCCCTCACTCTCTCTCTCTCTCTGCCCCTCACCAACTCATGCTCTGTCTCTCTCTATCTCTCTCAAAAAATAAACATTAAAAATTTTTTTAAAAAAAAGAAAGGAAATTGCCACAGCCACCCAGCAGCCTTCAGTAACCACCACCCTGATCAGTCAGCAGCCATCAACACGGCGGCAAGACCCTCCACCAGCAAAAAGATTACCACCTACTGAAAGCTCAGAGGATGGTTAGCATTTTTTAGTAATAAAGCATTTTTCAGTCAGGCTAGGTACATTTTCTTAGATATAATGCTATTGCACACTTAATAGATTGCAGTATAAGGTAAGTGTATCTTCTATATGCACCGGGAAACCGAAACAATAATTTACTAGCATTATTGCAATATTCACTTTATTGCAGTAGTCTGCAACCAGACCTGCAATATCTCAGAGATATGCCTCTATTTT